GGGCAGTCCTGGGCGCGGGCGCTTGTTCCCCCGAACTCTCCCGGCGGGGCCCGGTGGCACCGCCCATCGGCGACGTCTGCGCGTCTCTTGGGACCCCCCTCGTGCTGGCATTTTTTGGAGTTCGACATTGGCACCAACACCAATGCCGAGGGTTGCCTCTACCAGGGGAGGGTGATCCTAGATTTTGGTGTTGGTGGTAATATTTCAGCCACCTTGGAAGCCCGAATATTACCACCATCACCGAGATCGGGATCATGTTTCCTTGGTGGAGGCATATCGCCGAGATTGGTGTCGGTGTCAACCTCTGGGCCTCCGAATTCTCGGAGGAAGACACAAAGCCATGACCATAAACTTTGAGCGGTCCGCGGAGATTTCTTGGATCTGCGCTGAACCTCCCTCCCTGGCGCGCGGAGCGCGCCAGGGGCGGCGCCGGCGGCGCCGCCAGGGGGCTCCAGAGCAGATCCGAGGAATCCGCGCGGAGCGTCAAAAAGTTATGTCGGTGCCGGTTTTTCTTCTTCGACTTCTGGGTCGAGTCTCACGCTTCCCCAGGGATGAGCTCGTAGGGGCTGAGGCTGCTCGGCGAGACTGGTGCTGAGCCGGGCGGCATGCGGCGGCTATAGCCGGCCGCGGGGCTGTCCTGGACGCGTCCCTCGACCGTCGCCCCGCCCCCCACCCCTTCGGTGGCAACCCGCGGGAGCCTCTCATTAGAGGCCTCCCAGATGGTGTCCGAGCAGATGAGGTCGAAGGACCGCGCCGCCTCGCCAGTGCATCGGCGCTGTATCGGCAATGCGTCGGCGATGTATCGGCGACGTCGGCGACGCATCGGCGACGTCGGCGTGCTGAAGCACGGTCTCCACATCGAGCAGCATCGTCGATGCATCGGCGGTGCGGCGCGACCCTCCGACCCCATCTGCTCGGATCCCATCCGGGAGGCATGGACGCATGCCATGCTGCTGGCTCTCTTGCGGCTGGACGCAGGCCGACGCTGCACGACGCTATAACCGACGCCGACGTTGCACGACGCTAACGAATACATCTGCGCTTCCTCATCCATTACCACTCGCCATCGCTCGGACGTCCATTCCCTGTGTGTTTTTTTCGGTTTCGTGCGTGGTTTTTTCCGCCAAATGATCCAGGATGCTCCTCGATGGTCCGCGACGAAGGGAAAATGCACACGCCCGAGCGATGCCAAGTACCAGATGGCAGCGCACGCGAAGGCACTCTGCAGACGAAACTGCGATCGGCGGCGCGACGGGGGGGGAAGGCAGAGGGGGCGGGCCCGCTCAGAAGGCTCGGCAGGCCTACCGCCTGCCGAGGACATGTCGGAGCCTGCCCCGGAGAAGCAGACTACGCCTCAGAGGCCCGAGAGCTTCCGAGACGAGGACGGACATGATGCCATGCTGGGATCGGCACAGGCTGCGTGTCGGGACTTCCAGGGCATCTCTCGGCCACAGTTTATGATGCAGCCTCGCTGTGGAACACCCGGGAAGCTGGGCCCTCCCAGAGCTCCCGGAGCGTGCCCCTGCCGTGACCCCTATGGCTGCTCCGAGGGCAGGCCCGCCGCCTCCTGCGAAAGGCCAGCTCCTCGCCGCCTTCGCCCCCCCCCCTCGCCCGCGGCCGACGCGCGAGGGCACGCGCGGCCCCCCGGCTCCCGCGGCTTGCGGCCGAACGCCCAGGGCCCCCCGCCGCGGCGGGGCGGGGCTGCGCCGCTGGCTGCGGGGCGCAGCGCGGCTTGAGGGAAAGACGCGGCCGCGCGGAGGCGGGGGGGGCGGAGGTTGTGGATAGCCACGGGGGGGTAACGTTGGGTCGGGCATGCCCTTCTGCGGGCGGATTCTGGAGGAAAACTTTCATATCTGCCAGAACATACCCGAAGGTGGTCACCAAAATCATCGAGCCGTCGTTCTCCGGCTATCTTGTCACAGATCTTGGATATGGCCCCTGCACAGGGACAGGCCCGACTTCAGCTTAAGTCGGGCCTGTCCCCCTACAGGGGGAGTCTCGACGAAAAATATAAAAAAACCACAAACAAAAACCAAACATAGTCCAAACATAGTCTGGGGACTATTGTTTGAATCTGGTTTAACCTTCTGGGGGTATTTCTGGGGTATGTTTAATTTCCCGTCGAAAATCCCCCTGTAGGGGGGCACACCCGACATAAACTTAGGTCCAAAATAGTCCCAAAATATTCTGGGGACTATTTTTTAATTATGTTGTAACCTTTTTGGGGGTATTTTTGGGGTATTTTCAATTTTCCGTCGAAAATCCCCCTGTAGGGGGGACACGCCGGACATAAACTTACGGGTGTCGATGGGGGAGGGGGGGCCAGGCCTCCGAGGCACTGGAACAACAAAATATATGGGCGGAGGCTTCTCCTCCTCCTCCTCCCTCCTCCCTCCTCCCTCCTCCTCCTCCCTCCTCCCTCCCTCCCATACCTTCCTTCTCCGTCCTCCTCTCATCCCACCTGCCCCCTCCTCCTCCTCCTCCTCTCCTCCTCCTCCCTCCTCCTCCTCCTCCTCCCCCTCCTCCTCCCTCCTCCTCCCTCCTCCCTCCTCTCCTCCTCCTCCTCCTCCTCTCCTCCTCCTCCCTCCTCCTCCTCCTCCTCCTCCTCCTTTCCCTCCTCCCTCCCTCCTCCTCCTCCTCCTCCTCCTCCTCCTCCTCCCTCCTGCCCCCTCCTCCCTCCTCCCCTCCTCCCTCCTCCCTCCTCCTCCCTCCTCCCTCCTCCCTCCTCCCTCCTCCCTCCTCCCTCCTCTTCGCCCTCCGGGGGATCGCCTCCGGCCCAGGGGGGGCGCCACGCGGCACGACTCCCGGAGCGGCGGGCGGCGGCCCTGCAGGGAGGGGGGGCCTGGGACTTCCCGGGGGGACTCCGCGGCAGAAGGCTCGAGACTTGTGGGTCGGGTGCAGTCGGGGCGTTGACCTAAGGAACCCTAAATAAGGAACGAGGCCCCTGGGCATTTTTCGACACCCCTCACGAGGATCGTGGCCTCCGAGGGGGGAGCCGCAATCGACTACCCCCAAGAGCCCCCTAAGAGGCCCTGGGGGCCTCCAAAACGCCGCCAAGGAGCCCCAAGAGACTCCCAAGAGGTCCCCAAGAGGCCCCCAAGAGGCCCTAAAGAGGGCTCCAGGGCCGGCGGCATGAGCGAAGCGATTAAATAAGGAACGAGGCCCCTCCTTCCCATAAGTTACACTTTGATTCCCCATCGAAGCCCCAAGCAAAACCAAAGGCAGACTGCAAAACCACTACGGAACACCGAGCCCCTCCCCAACGAACAGGGTTCCTTCCTCAGGGCCCCGACTGTATGTCCTCCTACAGGTGGATCTCGGAAGGAAAACTGATATAATCAAAACAAGAATGCTCCCAAATAGTCAAGCACTTTGTGGGCTCCGGAAACGGCAGGGCCGTTCTTTCACCGTTTCCAAAAAAATCCTTAAAAGTGGAAACGGCAAAAAAAAGTGACCGGAAACGGCAAAAAACGGCTCCAAGATTGGAGCCGGAGCCAGAACCGGTCAAAAAACGGCGACGGAACCGGTGAAAAAACGGCGTCGGAACCGGCCAAAAAACGTCAGAACGGAACCGGTAAAAAAACGGCCCTGCCGTTTCCAGGGCCTACTAAGGTCAAGCATGGTCGAAAAATCGTCCCCGGACTATTTTCTGAGCATATTCGAATCTTCCTCCTGTAGAGGGGCGTGCCCGACTCAATCAGGACATCGGATCTCTGGGTCAGGCTCACGGTCGAGGGATCACCGAGCTTGAAGCGGCGATACACCGTCGGCGGATCGGCGATGGGCTCGGCTATACGCAAGAGTGACCCTGGGTAAGAGTGACCTTTGCTGCGCGACTTTTTGGGGGCCGCGGGGGGACCAAACCTGGGCGCGCACGCAGCTGCTACTGGCTCGTTTTCAGCCATTCGGGGGCCCATCTGTGCCCGCACCAAAGGTCACTCCGGCGAAAGGTCACTCTTACGTCTAGTCGATGGGCCCCTGATGGCAAGTTTGGTGGCTCCTGGGACCAGTGGGCTCTCGGGCCCTGTCGGCGAGGTGCAGCTGCTGGAACGCGTCCCGAGGCCTGCGGCGGCACCCCATCTGCCCCCCACCCCCTCCTCTACCTCCCTTCCTCCTCGTCCTCCTCGATCCTCGATCCTCCTCCTCCTCCTCCTACTCCTCCTCCTTCTTCTCCTCCTCCTCCTCCTCCTCCTCCTCCTCCTCCCCCTTCTCCTCTTCCTCTTCCTCCTCCTCCTCCTCCTCCTCCTCCTCCTCCTCCTCCTCCTCCCGGATGCTCGATCCTCCTCGATCCCTCCTCCTCCCCACCCTCGATGCACCTCCACCCTCCTCCTCCTCTGCCTCCTCCTCCTAGATCCTCCTCCGTCCTCGTCGTCCTCCTCCTCCTCCTCCTCCTCCTCTCCTCCTCCTCCTCCTCCTCCTCCCCCTCCTCCTCCTTCTCCTCTTCCTCCTCCTCCTCCTCCTCCTCCGCCTCCTTCTCCTCCTCCGTCCCCCTCCGTCCTACTCCGTCCTCGTCTCGATTCCCGCCGCGCGCGCCGCCGAGACGACGACGGCGAAAGGAGGCGAGGGACAGCCGCCGCAGCAGCAGGGCGGCGGCGAGCGCAAGCCGCCGCGGCAGCAGGGCAGGGGGGCGGAGGGTGTGCCTCGGTCCTCCTCGGGCAGCCATCCTCCTCACCGTCGGTCCACCTCCAGCCTCCTCCGATCCTCCTCGATCCTTCTCGTCCTCCTCCTCCTCCTCATCCTCCTCCTCCTCTTCCTCCTCCTTCTCGTCCTCGTCCTCCTGCTCCTCGTCCTCCTCCTCGTCCTCCTCCTCCTCCTCGTCCTCGTCCTCCTCCTCCTCGTCCTCCTCCTCCTCATCGTCCTCCTCCTCCTCGTCCTCCTCCTCCTCCTCCTCGTCCTCGTCCTCGTCCTCGTCCTCCTTCTCCTCGTCCTCCTCCTCCTCGTCGTCCTCCTCCTCCTCCTCCGACCTATCTCGGCCGCGCGCCCCGCCGAGGTGCGGGGATGGCGCCCGCGGGGCAGGTCCACGGCCTCGGCGCGCTCCTCCGCGAACCAGCGCTTCCAGCCCAAGGAGTCCTGCGCCGCACCCGGACCGCCTCTGGCCGGGAACAAAAAGCCGACGGGGCGTTCTTCATGATTTCAAGATCGGGGCCGTCGAACACCGACTCGAGACGTGGAGGAGGAGGAGGAGGAGGAGGAGGAGGAGGAGGAGGATGAGGAGGAGGAGGAAGAGGAGGAGGAGGAGGAGGAGGAGGAGGAGGAGGAGGAGGGGAGGAGAAGGAGGGAGGAGGAGGAGGAGGAGAAGAGGAGAAGGAGGAGGAGGAGGAGGAGGAGGAGGGGGAGGAGGAGGCGGAGGAGGAGGAGGAGGAGGAGGAGGAGGAGGACGAGGAGGAGGAAAAAATCCGACGGGGCGTTTTTCATTACTTTCGGGATCGGGACCGTCGAAAACCGACTCAAGATGTGAACCTGGTCCAGGAGAACGGGTTGGAACCTCGGGGGGCCGACACTAGGAAGAAATCAATACGTCGGGGGTCTGGGAGGGGGAGGGATCGGGTCGGCGCCTCGGCAGTCTCAGGTCGCTGGGCAGGCTCGGGAAGCCTGGCCCTCCCCCTGGGTGGCCGCCAGCTGCTAGCATAGTCGGAGGTCGGGGGGGAGATCGCAGTGAAGCGGAGACACCCACCGGGAAATCGGTTTCGGTTTCGTGCTCGTGTTGTGCGTGCGGGCGAGGCGAAGCTGCGCGTGATCCTCCTGTAGCTAGGCCGAAGTAGGAGCGAAAGTCCGTTCCCCGTCCGCCGGTGGCCGGGAAGTGTCCCAATTGGGCCGGGCGGTGTCCCGGGTGTCAGTAGGAGCGAAAGTCCATTTCCCGTCCGCGGTTGGCCGGGAGGTGTCCCAATTGGGCTGGGCGGTGTTCCGGGTGTCCCGGGTGTCGCGGGCGTCCCGGCGCTAACGCATGTCGTTAATTTCATATTTCATTTTTTTCGGCGCCTGCGCCGGGCTTTCTTATCCAATCCAGTTTATCTTATCCAAGCCATCTTGTCCAACCCAATACATCTTATCTTATCCAACCCATTTTGTCCCATCTTATCTGAACCACCCAATCCAATCCACCCAACACAATCCATCAAATCATTTGTTTCTGCGCCTGCGGCGGGCGAATCCAATCCATCTTATCTGATCCAATCCATTTCTTCCTATCCAACCATCTTATCTGACCCAATCCATCTTATCCCATCCAATCCAATCCACCCAACCCAATCCATCAATCCATTTTTGTCGGCGCCTGCGGCGGTGGGGGCGGTGAGAGAGAGAGAGAGAGACAGAGAGAAGGAGAGAGATGAGATCAAGGTGACAGGCTGGAGGTCAGTCAGGGAGGGCATTTGTGGGGAACGAAAAATGACATAAACAGAAAAACTCGGAAGTCCGCGCGGATTTCTCGGATCGGCGCTGGACCCCCCTCCCTGGCGCGCGGAGCGCGCCAGGGGCGGCGCCGGAGGCGCCACCCGGGGGGTCCAGCACGGATCCGAGAAATCCGCGCGGACCTCCGAGTTGTTATGTTTATGCCACTCTTTGTTCCCCGAATTTGATCTCAATCCCCCCCAACCTCCTGCGGTGAGAGAGAGAGAGAGAGAGAGAGAGACAGAGAGAAGGAGAGAGATGAGATCGAGGTGACAGGCTGGAGGTCAGTCAGGGTGGGCATTTGATCTCAATCCCCCCCAACCTCCTTATGGCTCGCAGGGCGGTCGTATAGGTATCCTTCGGGATCCCGGGGGGAGCGCCCGAGGGACCCAAAGAGGCCACGAGATCTGGGCGGGCCGAGTCGGGGCCTCCGGGGCGGTCTCTATAGGACGAGCACTGGAGGCTCAAAACCGAAGACCTGGGGGGGGGAAGATAGCGTACAAGGCAGTTTCTACTGCATATGATTTTTAGAAATGTATGGGAGCTTTAATGCATGACAAATTTATGAATACATGTATGCATGAACTCATCGTTGTTTTTAGTACTAAATCCCTGCATGTTTAATACATGATCCGCACGCGGAGCATGTATTAAAAACGGCACTGTAAAACCGAAGGCCTGGGGGGGCTCAGATGGCGCAGGAACGAGGATGACAGTATGATTTGGACGGAGTCCTCTCCTAACTAGAAGAAGGACGTTAGCCAGCGTGGGATCGCAACCGTATTATATGTAACCGCTGATCGTGTGCAATCTGCGTGGAGCCATCCACGCTGTGCAACAAATGTGGCGCATTCGATGGTGTGCAGTATACGTTGTGAAATCTATGTTGTGCGATTCATGTGACGTACTATCCGTGATGCAATCTACGTGGTGCATTCGACCCTGCGAAACTTGTACCTCGAAGTTGTCAGCCCCACTTCTCGCGCAAGAACCCCACCCACCCACCCGCCCACATGTGGTTGGCAAGCCCCATGCGGCGGAGATTGCGATGCCTGCTTGGCGCTGGCTGGCACATCGCTGCGGCCGCGCTAGCGCGCGCAGACCTGCGTGCAGAACAGCCAGCTAGCCTGGCGCGACCGCCGCGGCCGCGGTGGCGCTGACCGCAGGGCACTTCACAGCGAGCCTCGCAGGCCACGCTGACGCGCGGCCGCGAGGCTCGCTGTGGCAGCGACGCTACCGTGGCGACGTGAAGGCCAGCGGACACGACGATGGTGATAGTGGCGATGCTGGTGACGATGACGACGACGACGACGACGGCAAGGTCACTGATGGCGCCGATGCTGATCACGCCGATGACGATGATGTTGTCCACGCGTCGGTGATGAACATGTTGTGGCAATTTCGAGGTGCGCGTGCGGCCGACGCGCACGAGTGGCCCGAATGGTATCATTTGACGGTGATCGCGCCCCCCTGGCAAGCGAGAACAAATCGCCTGAATTCCTTCGATTTGCGCGTGCAAGGAGCAAGTGTGTTCGCATGTGCTATGGTTTCTTAAGAACTCGCAATGGCGCGCACAGTTGTTCATATGGTTGTGGAAAACATGTTGCAAAACCATGTGTTGCTTGTATGGTACCGTGGCACTCGATTATGAGTTCCTTGCGCAATCAACGGTTTTGACAGATCTCAGCATGCGCGCGCGACGGCGCGCGCGCGTGTGCACTTCGTCTCGACTTGCGCAAAGAATGTTTGCAAATGGATGCTTTCTGATCAACGAGTGTGTGAGCATTGCCTTAGTTCACGAGGATGGGGGCGGAGCGATACTGGGCTGGCTAGGCTGGGACAAATTCAACTTTAGAGTAAACGATGGGGCAGGGTCATCTGTAAATTCTACACCATCAAAGAATACTGATAACCCCCGGGGTGGGAGGATGGGAAACCCAGATTCTTCTCTCGAGTGAAGAATCTATGCGGTGCGCAACTGATGCGGTGCTACCGGTATGGTGCAGGCTAAGCGGTGTAACATATCTGCGTTATCCGACCTACGTGGCGCGGTAGGTGCAATCTATATGGTGCAATATATGCGGCGCAGCCTGCTGGTGCAAGATATGTTGTCCAACCTGTGTTGTGCAATACATGTGTTGCAATCTGTGCGTTCTTGTCCATATACGTGGTGCAATCTATGTGCAGCAATTAATCCCACGAGCCCTCTGGGCGCAGGTGGTCTGACGATGTCGTTCTTTCCTCTTCGAAAAAGCCTTCTCCCCCTTCGGGGAGGGGCTTACCCCTCCTCCTGCCCCCTCCCCTGGTCCTGGACGGGGGGGGTCGCGAGCGGTCAGGGCGTCCAAGATAGCCTGGGATGGCTCCAAGAGGGCCTCAGAGAGCCCAAGATGGCCTCCAAGATCCCTCAAGATAGCTAACAACATGCCTCCAAGAGGCCCCAAGAGGGCCACAAGACCGTTCCAGGTGCTCTTGGCGACCCCTCAGGAACTCCCCGCGAAGCCAAACTGCGGCAAACATCTAAGGGAAAACCTTCTCGCCTTTTCGCTTCCGATGTGTTTTTGAGGCGTCAAGATGGCCCTCAGATGGCCCGATCGAGTTCCAAGAAGGGCCCAAGAAGCCCCCAAGACTTCCCCTAGAGCGCCCACGATCGCACCAAGAGGGCCCCAAGAGCGCCCCAAGAGGCTGTTTCGATGGCCCCGGAGAGGGGGAAGGGAAATCGAGGACACCCCTCCTTTGATCGCTGGTCTCCAAGATGGCTCCAGGAGGCGCTCCATAGCTCCCAAGAGGGCCCCAAGAGAGCCCCAATAGAGCCCCAAGGGGGCCCCGTGAGGGCCCCAAGGCGCCCCAACGGTGCCCCAGAAGGGCCCCAAGACCCCAAAAGAGCCCCAAGAGGGCTCCAAGATGCCCCCAAAGAGGCCCACGAGCCCCCAATACAGCCCCGCAGATCCAAGAAGGCCTCCGATGCTCCAAGATAGCCTCCAAGATGGCTCAACACCCTCCTTCCTCTCCTCTCCTCCTTGCACGATCTGTTTCACTACATGTGTCAATTCGTCAATTTTCCCGTCAGGCCGCGATAACCCGCGCACGCTCGCGCGCACAGCGGTCAGCTACTTAGGCGCGACCGACGCGGCCGGGGTGGCACTGTCCCATGGGTACTTCCCAGCAGGCACTGTAGTGCGAGTCCGTGACTTCGGCGGGCGCGATATCATGGCGACGTCGAAAGCGGTAGACACGATAATGATAACAGCGGTGCTGATGACGATGATGATGATGACGATGATGATGCTGATGACGCTGATGATGATAGTGATGATGCTGATGCTGATGCTGATGCTGATGACGACGACGATGATGATGATGATGCTGATGATGATGATGGTGATGATGATGATCATGATCATGATGATGATGATGATGATGATGATGATGATGATGATGATGATGATGATGATGATGATGAAATCGGCAAGGCCACTGATGGCGCCGATGCTGATCACGCCGATGACGATGACGATGTCCAAGCGTCGGTGATGAAGATTTTGAAAGGAGTTCGACGACATGCGTGCGATGCCGACGCGCGCGAGTGGCCCACATTGCATCATTCGAACAAGATCGTCTGAACACTCGGAACGCTCTGAGAACGCTCCGGAACACTCTGGGACGGGTTTACCCTCGTCCTAACCCCGTCCGAGAACGGGTAGAGGAACGAGACAGACACATAAGCATCAAGTTTCGGAGGGCCGCGCGGATGTCCCGCATCGGCGTTGGACCGCCCCTACCCTGGCGCGCGGAGCGCGCCAGGGGCGGCGCCGGAGGCGCCGCTAGGCGCCTCTGGAGGCGCGGCGAGGCGACTCCGGCGCCGATCCGAGGAATCCGCGCGGAGCTCCGAAAGTTCATGCTCACGATATGGTATGCTTTGCCCCCCGGAGGGGGGCGAAGGAGAAGGCGGCCAGGGAGGCGAGGGAGAGACGGAGGGGGAGGGCGAGGGGAAGGGGCAGGGCGCAGGGTGGCGGGCGAGGCAGAGCGAGCGGGGAGCAGGAGGGCGGCATGAGAAGAGGGCCGAGAGGCAGCCGCGAGGGGAGCGGGGCGGCACGGAGGCCAGCGCGCACACAAGCACACACACGAGCACATACAAAGACACACACACACACACGAATACACCTTTTCTGGGCCCGCAGCCACCCGGGAAACAATTCGTGGACACTCCTCCTCTCCCGAAGCCTCAGGGTTTGCACGCCCGGGGAAGACTGCGGTCGACGTGCAACGCATTCAGCCCACCGCCACCATGGATCACTGCGGGAGGTCGTTGACGGATGAATGTGGCATGATTGTTCGCTGAGTTCTTGCGAGGCATGTCAGGAACCGGAAGAGACGCAGAGGACCAGCAAGGGACAACTGCGGCAAGCCAAGCAGTCTGGGAGAAGGAGAAGGGAGAAGAAGGACGAGGAGGAGAAGGAGGAAGAGGACGATGCGGAGGTGAAGGACGAGGAGGAGCAGGGGATATCTGGGGAGGGAGGTGAATGGAGGAGGAGGGCAGGAGGAGAGGAGGCGGACCAGGTGGGGTGGAGGCGGAGGGAATTGCTGGAGGGAGGGAGGAGAGGATATGGGGTCCTGCTCGATGGAGTGCGTCAGGGAGCTGGAGGTCGTCCGGAAGGTGGGCAGCTGCTCCAGGCACTGGGCGAAGGGAAGCCCTCCTCTCCATTCCCCCCTCCTCCTCCCTCTCCTCCTCCTCCTCCTCCTCCTCCTCCTCCACCTTCTCCTCGTCCCCCTCCTTCTCCACCTTCTCCTCCTCCTCCTCTTCCTCCTCCTCCTCCTCCGCCTCCTCCTCCTCCTCCTCCCTCTCCTCCTCTCCTCCCTCCTCCTCCTCCTCCTCCTCCTCCTCCTCCTCCTCCTCCCCTCCCTCCTCCTCCTCCTCCTCCTCCTCCTCCTCCTCCTCCTCCTCCTCCTCCTCCTCCTCCTCCTCTCCTCCTCCTCCTCCTCCTCCTCCTCCTCCTCCTCCTCCTCCTCCTCCCTCCTCCTCCTCCTCCTCCTCCTCCTCCTCCTCCTCCTCTCCTCCTCTTCCTCCTCCTCCTCCTCCTCCTCCTCCTCCTCCTCCTCCTCCTCCCTCCTCCTCCTCCTCCTCTCCTCACTCCTCCTCCTCCTCCTCCCTCCTCCTCCTCCTCCTCCTCCTCCTCCTCCTCCCTCCTCCTCCCCTCCTCCTCTCCCTCCTCTCTCCTCCTCCTCCTCCTCCTCCTCCTCCTCCTCCTCCTCCTCCTCCTCCTCCTCCTCCCCCATCCTCGCCTACACGCAAGAGTGGCCCTGGGCACGAGTGACATTCGGTGCGCGGCGTCTTGGGGGGCCGCGGCAGAACCAAACCAGAGCGCGCACGACGCTGCTGCGGCAGGGGGGAAACAGTCAGTGGACCATCCCCCGCTGCCCCCGAACTCAGAGTTGGCACGCGCGGGGGGAGCTTGCGCTCGAAGTGGAGCTCATCAGACCCACCGCCAGCTTTGAACACTGGGGGGAGGGGGAGGCGCTGGCCGAGGAGTGTGGCATGCGTGCTCGCTATTCTCTTCCGAGGCCTGTGCCGCACCGCGTTCGGCGATCGGGGGGCCCATTTGGCCTCGGGGATCTTCTGACCAGGGACAATCCAGACCAGGGTCAGCCAGGCCTTGCAGAATCCTGCAAGATCCTGCGCCCAAGCCCGGGCCAACGCGAAGGATCCTTCAAGACGCTGCAGGATGCTGCACCCAAGCCCGGGTCAATGCGACCCTGGCCCTGCAGGATCCTGCTAGATCGGGCGCTCTGGCTGACCCCCGTTTGCATCGACCCCCGTCTCAAGGCTCTCGATGGCCCGCACCAAAGGTCTCTCCGGCGGAAGGTCACCCCTTGCGTGTCGTCGGATCCGCGTTCGCCCTCCCTCGCGTCGCGGCCAGAGACGCTGCGGCGGGTGCTCCTGGGCCGGGCCCGGGGGCCGTGGACACAACTGCTCGGGAAGAGTAGCTGGTCCCTGGGGACTGGGTCGCGAGGCAGCCATGGGGTCCACGGTGCGAGAAAAAAACAGGCGACGTCTGTGATCTGGGAAGCGCGAGAGAGAGAGAGAGAGAGCGCGAGGGAGAGAGGGAGAGAGAGAAAGAGAGAGCGAGAGAGAAAGAGAGAAAGAGAGAGAGAGAGAGAGAGATAGACAGAGAGACAGAGAGAGGGAGAAAGAGAGAGAAAGAGGGACAGTCAGGCAGACAGGCAGGCAGGCAGGCAGGCAGGCAGTCGCAGAGACACAACAAGAACCACTGCGTACTGCGGACGCTCAAACAATCCCTCCGTCGCGTCGTCCTTCGCGGGCGGGTGTGGCACGCAGCGCGCGCAGTGAGACGGCTCGTCTCCAAGCGTGCGCATCTTCGGGCTCAGGGCTGAAGCCAGAGCGCAAGGCCAAAGGTATGACGTCCTGCTCTTGCGCGACCTGGGCCGCCGCAGCTCTCGACCTCATCCCCTGGACCAGCTGTCTGTATCGGATGATTATTCGCGAGCCCCCGGGCCCCGAACCGGCCCCCCGTCTATGGCACTGAGGTGTAGGTGCGGGTTCTTGGTGGAATACCTTGACGTGTGTTAGTGTTGCCTGCTGTTGGTGTGTATGATTGATGTTCGTTCTTTGCCTATATCATTGTTGTGTGCACGTGGTGCTTGCTGCTGGTATACGGTCTTGATGTATACCATCGGCGCTATGAGTTAACAGTACACTGCTGATATATGTTACCGGGGCGCATTCTTAATGTATGCTCGTCATGCATGTTCTAGGATGTCTGTGGACGACGTCGTAACGCTTGGACGGCATGACGCCTCCCTGGTGAGGTTGTCAGTGAGTTACGCGTGCTGTAATGCGTGGTCGCTGTGTCGTCGTTGGGCTCCAGGGATCTCTGGGGGCCAGGCGGCCGCGGCACGCAGGGCGGACGAGGAGGGACACCCAGAACTCTCCCGGGCTACCGGAGCCTGGCGGCCGCGGCATGTGGCTGGCGGCTAGCAATGGGGGGCGACACCCACATGGGAGGTGAAGAAAAGGGCCCAGGAGGGGCCCTTTAGGGCCCCTTCTGGGCAGGCTGCAGGCTCCAAGAGGGGCCCTATAGGGCTCCTTTTAGGGCCTTTCTCTTCACCCCCTAATTGGGTTACCCCCCATCTGGGTCACCCCCTGGGGACAGACTATAGAAATCCTCCAGACATGGGAAGTCTGGGAAGGCGAAGGAGAAGGCGGAGGAGGAGGAGAAGAAGGAGGAGGAAGGGAGGGAGGAGGAGGGAGGGAGAGGAGGAGGAGGAGGAGAGGAGGAGGAGGAGAGGAGGAGGAGGAGGAGGAGGAGGAGGAGGAGGGAGGAGGAGGAGGATGGAGGAGGAGGAGGAGAGGAGGAGGAGGATGAGGAGGAGGAGGGAGGAGGAGGGGGAGGAGGAGGAGGAGGAGGAGGAGGAGGAGGAGGAGGAGGAGGAGGAGGAGGAGGACTCACCTGGACTATCGTGGAGCCCGGCGGCCGCGAGAGGAGGGGGCACGCGGGGCGCACGCCTGCAGAGGGCAGCCGCAGAGAGAGAGGCCGCGCCGGGGGGCCCCGCGCGGGCCCGTGCAGAGCCCCGCAGCGAGGCCCTCGAGGGCCGGAGGCCGGAGCCCGAGGAGAGGGCGACAAAGACCGAGGAGGAGGAGGAGGGGGAGGAGGAGGAGGATGGGCAGGAGGAGGGGAGGAGGGGGAGGAAGGAGGGGGAGGAGGGAAGGAGGAGGAGGAGGAGGGAGGAATAGGAGGAGGAGGAGGGAGGAGGAGGAGGAGGAGGGAGAACAGTAGGAAGAGGGAGGGGAGGGAGGAGGAGGACGGAGGGAGGAGGAGGGACGAGGAGGAGGAGGTGGAGGAGGAGGAGAAGGAGGAGGAGGAAGAGCGGCCACGAGAGCAACACAAAAAAAAAACGAACCTGCGCAGGGGTGCGAGGAGGGATCTGGCCCTGACGGCGCGCACACAAAGGGGGTATAGGGGGAGGGGGGAAGGCTCCTCAGGAGGAGAAGAGCGGCCGCGAGAACAAAGAAACGATCCTGCGCAGGGGTGCGAGGAGGGATCTGGCCCTGACGGCGCGCACAAAGGGGGGCACTTAGGGGGAGGGGGGGAGGTTCCTCAGGAGGGGAGGCTGCTTCTCGGAGGGCGCCCGCCTCGCGTCGACGGACGAGGCCCGCGGCTTCTGAGGGGCAAGGGTGCTTCTAAGAAGCCCTGCCCCCTCCCCCTGTATCCCCTCTGCGCGTGGCCGATGACTATCTGCCAGACCACCCCCCACCCGGACCCGCCCCCCCTGGAGATGGAGGGCAAATCGAGGCCTTCGGGTTGGGTCGGGTGTTTGGGCAGGTGGTGGGGATCGGAAGACTGGCGCTGGATCCGCCTCGAGCCTGCTCGGAACGCGCAGGTGCGCACGAGCTAGTCCGAGGCAGACCCCGGACGCCATGCTTGCTTCGTGGAGTGGACCTTCCCCACCCCGGAGGTCTCGACCCCCTCCCTGGGACCGTTTCTTTCTTCCCCCGGAGTTGCTTTTCCCGACGGTCCGAGGCCCCAGCGGAGGCCCGCAGAGGCAACACACTGCCAACACAGCTTTTTGCCGTGATCCTCGTGCATGAACCGACGGGGGAATCTGGGGACGCAGCCCGGGGGCGAGCCAGGCGGGCAGCCTCCATGTGTGCGCCTCCAGAGGCCCCCGTGGATGGGGTCCGAGCAGACGGGGTCGGAGGCGCGCGCCGCACCGCCGATACATATGCGATGCATCGCCGATGCATCGCCGATGCGTCGGCGACATCGGCGATGTCTCGGCGGCGCCGGCGTGGAGAAGATCGGGCTCCACATCGAGTCGCACCGCAGCTGCACCGCCGATGCGGCGCGATCCTCCGACCACAGCCACCCCGACCCCATGCAGGAGGCCTATGGAGCCCCGCGTCCTGCAGGCCCATCGGGGAGGAGGCGCGGGGCAGAGCCGTGCGGCCCTACTTCCTTCGTCACGGAGGAGTAGGAGGAGGAGGAAGATGAGGAGGGGGAGAAGGAGGAGGAGGAGGAGGAGGAGGAGGACGAGGAGGAGGAGGAGGCGGAGGAAGCGGCCCAATCTGTACTCGCGGCCCGGAAGCGAGTACAGATTGGGCTGCCGAGTTGTGCCTGGACGCGTGGACTCGCAACGAGTAAGGAGCCGAGCCCTGTACACCGCCGCTTTCTCCAGCCCCGCACTGAAGCTCGCACAAGAAAGCGAATTCTGGGGCATACGGGATCCAAATGTATACAGTGTTCGCTGTTTCCCAAGGAAAACTGGCAAAGAAGTATACACCACACCACCCCGACGTCGTCCCCGACCCTCAAGAAGTCCTGGGATTGAAAAACAGCCCGCCACAGGTAATGAAGATGCTCCAGTGACTCCACTTTCCGAACAATTGCACACGGACAGACAACATCAGAGTGAGGGGGTCTACCGAATGGTCTTACACCTTTCCTGGCTGCAACGCCGCGCCCACGACTCTGAAAGGAATCGTGCGCTCGACCTGGCTCTTCTCACGATGCACCTGGGACTCGCGCTATCGCTCGAGGCCTCCTCGCGATTCATGCAGGACGCACGCGTCAACACCCCGCCTGCTCGACGACCACGCCGCCCTGGCCCGCCCTCCCGGCCCGCCCCGTCAGGGTCGACCCGCCCGAGCCGCCCGTCTGGTTCTGCCACGTGTTCTCTCTGCCCCTGGCCCCCCCTCCTGCCAGTCTCTCCCGTGCTCGATCCTCCCCTTCCGCCCAGGCCTCGGACAAAAAAATAGCGAGCACTCATGCCACACTCATCTGTGAGCGCCTCCCCCCCCCCCCCCAATCTTCGAAGTTGGTGGTGGGCCCGATGAATTGCACCACGGCCGCAGTCTCCCCCCGCGCGTGCCAACTTTGAGTTTGGGGGGCAGGGGGGGTGTTCACTCATTGTTTCCCTCTACCGTCAGTCCTGTCGTCCCCTGTGCTAAGGGCTGCGCTTGTTACACGCGGCAGGTGAGGGAGACACCCCCCCAAGAGGGGGCACGATGGAAGACGAAGGGGGCGGGCATCGAGCGTCTAGGATAGACGTGTGGAATGGCACGCGTGCAGGTGAGGGCGAGCACTAGTAAACTGATTGTTGTTGCTGTTGTTGCTGCTGCTGTTGTTGCAGACGTTGTTGCGGCTGCTGCTGTTATTGAATTCTCACGTCTCAAGAATACAATTGTTGTTGATCCCCCTGCCTGTCAACCATTGTATGTTTTGCAATGTGAGTGCTCCTCCGGGGGCTTGCACCCTGTTTTTTACAAGGGAAAGCGGGGTGTCACCAAACTGGGTTGTTGGCCTCAGTTTACAACACAAGCAACAAAAACAACAACATCGGTTCCCGCCTGATATTTCCCACAATGTATTCCAAAAGCGCGCTCTCGCGCAGGACCTCCCTCACAACATGTATACAGGAGTCGCGCTGTTACGTGGGACTTCCTCACAGTGTATTCAAACGCCGCGCTCTCCACGCTCAGGAATCGCGCTCTCCTCCTGGCTCATCCCACGATTAATTTGGGGATCTCGCTATCGCTCGAAACTTCCTTGCACGCCATGCAGAACTCACGATTCAACAACCCGCCTGCTCGACTTGGCCAAGTTGGCCCGCACTCCCGACCTTTCCACTATACCCGCTCGATCAGCCCGTCTGGCTCTGCCACGTGTTTTCTGCCCCTGGCACCCGCGTCCTGCTAATCTCTCTTGTGTTCCGTCCTTCTCCATCCCTCTCCCTGTTCTACGGGCTGCGCTACGTGTACGTGGCAGGTATGGAAGATGTACCCCAAAAGGGGGAACGGTCGAAGACGAAACGGGCGGGTATCGAAGGTTTGAAACCAATGTGCTGAATGGCGCGCAAGCAGCTAAGAGCGAACAAAATTAAACTGATTGCAGTTGATGCTGTTGCTGTTTTTGGTGGTGGTTGTGTTGTTATTGCTCTTGTTGGTGTTATTGTTGTTGTTGATGTTGGTGTTGTTGTTGTGGTTGTAAATGGCGTTGTTGTTGCTGCTGTTGTTGTGGTTGTTGTTTTTGTTGCTGAACTCTCGCTACTGAAGAACAAGTAGTGGTAATCCCCCCTCCAGTGCACATGGTATGTTTTCAAATGAGGTACCCCTCCCGGCGCTCGTACCCGGCTTTTTTATCAAGAAGCGTTTTCCTCCTCAAACTGTGTTGTTGGCCCCCGGTTTACAACAACAGCGGCTCCCGCATGAGACTTCCTCACCGTTTAGCCAGGACCCCCGCTCCCTCCCGAGACTTCCTCGCATGTACTTCAGGAGTCGCACTCTCGCATGGGACCTCCTGACAATTTGCTCAGGAGTCTCTCTCTCGGCGCTCTGGAAGCACGCTCTCGCTGGAAACTTGCTTGCAATTTACTCAAGAATAGCGCCCTTGCGTTGGAATTTCCCGCAATTTACTCAAGCGCCGCGCTCCTCACACCCAGGCGCCAACGACTCGCACTCACGCTTAGGACCCCTTGACAGACCACTTAGGAATCAGGATCTCGCTGCCCTGCGTGGCCCCGTTGCAACCAACCCTTCGTGGCCCCCTCGCATCCCTTCTTGGTCCCGTTGCAGCCCTTCGTGGCCCCCTCGCTGTCCTTCCTGGCCCTGTTGCAGCCCCCCGTGGCCCCCTCGTTGCCCTTCGTGGCCCCGTTGCAGCCCTTCGTGGCCCCCTGGTTGCCCTTCCTCTTCGTGGCCCTCTCGCTGCCCTTCGTGGCCCCGTTGCAGCCCTTCGTGGCCCCCTCGCTTTGTTTCGTGGCCCCGTTGCAGCCCTTCGTGCCCCCCTCGCTTTGTTTCGTGGCCCCCTCGCAGCCCTTCGTGGCCCCCTCGCTGCCCTTCGTGGCCCCGTTGCAGCCCCCCGTGGCCCCCTCGCTTTGTTTCGTGGCCCTGTTGCAGCCCCCCGTGGCCCCCTCGCTGCCCTTCGTGGCCCCGTTGCAGCCCTTCGTGGCCCCCTCGTTGCCCTTCGTGGCCCCATATGCATGCCCTTCGTGGCCCCCGCTCGTTCGCGCCCGTCGTGGCCCCATACGCATGCCCTTCGTGGCCCCGCTGTCGCCCTTCGCGGCCCCCTCGCTGCCCTTCGAAGCCCCGCTGCTGCACTCAATGGCCCCGTCCTCGCCCTCCGAGGCACAATATACGCATGCCCTTCGTGGCCCCCGCTCGTTCGCGCCCGTCGTGGCCCCGTGTGCGTGCCCTTCGTGGCCCCTCTGTCGCCCTTTGCGGCCCCCCCGCTGTCCTACGTGGCCTAATTGTTACCCTCAGTGGCCCCGTCGTTGCCTTCTGTGGCCCCGCATTCTCTGCCCTTCGTGGCCCCCGCTCGTTCGCGCTCTTCGTGGCCCCATACGCATTCCTTTCGTGTCCCTGCTGTGGCACATCGTGGCCTACTTCGTGCGCTTCGTGGCCCTGCTGTCGTTCTCTCTCTCGCTCTCGCTCTCGCTTTCGCTCGTCGTCGTCGTCGTCGTCGCTGTCGTCGTCGTCGACGTCGTCGTCGTCGTCGACGTGGTCGGTCCCCTGTCTGTCCCTCTTGGGGTCGGGTTGCCGCCGATCAGCGCTGCCGCTGGCCAAGCCGACTGTCCGCGGCCGCCCCGCCGCTTGCCGGGGCCCGGCCTGCAGGGAAGACAAATATACGAGCACCCCCAATAAAGGGTACGATCGAAGACGAAGAGGGCGGGTATCAAGGGTTTGGGAGAAGCGCGTTACTTAACGGACAATCAAGCAGATAAGGACGAATAGTCTTAATGATTGTTATTGTTGTCGTTGTTGTTGAATATTCATTTCTAAATCATAATTATTGCTGGTCTCCGGAAGCGGTTCCGCGCGCACTCGCCTCGACGCCGGCTGCATTTTCTCTGGCAGCGAGGCTCCCGCTCGAGCGTTGGTTTGACCCTAAATGTGGGCCCTTGGAGGCCCAGCTACGACAGCAACGGCTCCCGCTCGATACTTCCTCACAATTTACCCCGAGACACCCTGACCAGAGAGGCCCCCGAACTCAGGAACGGCGCTCCCGCTCGAGACTTCCTCGCAATTAAATGAAGTTGGCAGAGGCCCAGCCACGACGACAAGGGCTGCGGCTCGATACGTCCTCACGATTTACTCCGAGAGCCCCTGGCCAAGAAGACCCCCGAACTGAGGAACGGCGCTTTCGCTCGAGACTGTCCCGTTCAGGCATGTTGGTGCCGGCCTGGGCACGGCGACAAGGGCTCCCGCTCTATATTTTTCCATAAGTACTTAAGTATTCCGAGAGCCCCCGGCCAGAGAGGCCCCCGAACTCAGGAACGGTGCTCTCGCTCGAGACTTCTTCGCACTTCAGTCAGTGGCCGACAAGGAAAATATTCCCCCCGAAAGGGGGTGCAATCGAAGACGAAGTGGGCGGGTATCGAGGGTTGGGGTATACGGAATGCAAGACACGCGTGCCAGTGAGAGCGAACAGTCTTAGTTGTTGTTGTTGCCGTCCCCGCCCGCGATCCATCCCGCGATGCACCCTGCGCCCGCCCCCTCACTCTCATCCGCAGTTGCTGGGCGCTGCGTCGCTGTCCTTCCTCTGTCCAGCTCCTCCCGCCTTCAGCTGCGCCCACTGCGTCTCCGTCAGCCAGCTCCTCATGCTCTCCGGCATCACCGACGGCGTCGGGTCGAGGGGCGCGCGGATGAGCAGGCCGAGCTCGTCTGCCGGGGAGAGCGGCGGTCGGCGCCTCCTCCCTCCTCTCCCGCGATCGCCCCTCTCCCCGACCCTCCTTGGCGTCAGCTTCCCTGCCTGCCCCTTTCCCCCCCCCCCCTCCTCCGACCTGGCCCCCTGCCGACTCCGCTCCCGCATCGTCGGCGGCGCTATCCTCCCCCCGGGTCGTGGCGCACGACCGGAGCGCCAGGGCACACCCGCAGGGCCCGCGCACCTCCCCGCTCCGAGGCAAGCTGGTGGGCCTCAGGCCCACCTCTCCTCCCCCTGCTCCCCAGGGCGGTATCCTGGCTGGACGTCGCCGGAGCGGACGAGGACGCGCAGCGCCAGCATGGACGCGACGGTCAGCTTGTCGGCGTCGAGGAGGCCTGGCGGGGGGGGAAGGCAGCGGAGAGTCGAGGGCGGGGAGGGCGCGGGCAGGAGAAGGCGGAGGGAGGCGGAGGTGGCAGGCGGCCCGGCTCGCCTGGCGAGGCCCTGAGGTCCAACACTGCAAAGCGAAAACACAACATCCCAAACAATGGGAACCCCCAAATCGGGTGGTGAGATACCAGGTGGCGACCTGGAATCCCCAAAAAGGTCACCGCTGGGTTTGGGGACGCGGGGTCACCACCGGGTTAAATGACTCCTGGACCCACCAGTGTCCGGGACATCCTCGGAAAACCGCACGAGTCCCCAAACCGGGCGGTGACACCAAATCACCCGAGACTCACCGCCAGGTGTTGTCACCACCACGTTTGGGGACTACCAAAAAAAATTGCGACCAGACTCTGGGGTCCGGGGCTCTGGTCACCAGCGCCCTGGGCCCCGAAGTTCTGGGCCCTAATTCGGGCCAGACCAATATCTGTGAAGGCCCCGGGGACCGAAAAAACTGCGCGAAAATCGCCCGCTGTGGTAAAAGATGCAGCGCCAGGATCTCCGGGGACGTCGGCGCGAAGCCCCTGCGCAGCGACGTTGGGTCGGTGGGTGCCCGCGCGGTGGGCAGCCGCTGACGGCGAGCGACCATCGCCGCGCACCAGGGGGGGCCCAGCTCCCGACGCTGGATCGGGGATCTACCGACCCGGGCCAGCCCAGACCCGGGCCAGTCAGGCTCCGCAGGATCCTGCAGGGTCCTGCAGAAAAAGCCCAAGTCCGTGCACCCCTGGACCCACCGGGGCCTGCCAGACCCGGCGCTCTGGCTGACCCCCGCTCAGAGAGCAGAACATCGATCCACCCCCATCATAAGCACCCCGACAGGCGAAGCCGTTCAGCAAACGCACCCCTGGAAGGTATCGACCAGGGCACGGCTGTCTAGTAAACGCCCAGGGCTGTTCATCACCAGCCTGGAACATATCCCTATCCCTATGATTGGCATGGCCTCACCTCGATGCCGATCTTAGGGATTCCCTCCGTTTCTGAGGGCGCATCCCTAAGATTATCGTCGACTTTTGGCTTGTTAATCCTAGGGACAGGGATACGTTCGAGGCTGGTTAGTTCAGTAAACGCGAACTGTCGCGGTCGGGGTGGTTTCTCCACCCTTTGACCGCTTGCACCGGCCCCCGCCTCCTCCTCCCCCCTTCCCCTCCTCCTATCCTCCGCCCTCCTCCTTCGCCTCCTCCTCCTCCTCCTCCTCCTCCTCCCTCCTCCTCCTCCTCCTCCTCCTCCTCCTCCCCCTCCTCCTCCTTCTCCTCCTCCTCTTGCGCCCCGACTGGAGGGCGCACCCCGCGGAGCCCGGGCGCGCAAGCGACGCAAGGCTCCCCTTGGCCGGCCCCGCGCCTGGCTCCGCCGCGTAGCAGGGAGCCCCGCGCCAGCCGCGAAGCGAGAGAGACTGGGGGCTGCCCAGCCGCTATGTGGAAGAGAGGTTGGCCAAGCCTGCCTCAACGCTACTCGGGTCGGGCGAAAGGGGGGGATAGCAAAGGAGGGGTTTGAGAATCAGCTCACGTAGCTGATTTTCCCAGCGCCTCCAGGCGCCGGAGGCGGCCATGTATCGAGGAATGGGCCCCTCGGTGAGGCCGAGACCAGCTGCATGCAGCAGATTTCGTAACCCCCCCTTTTCGCCCGGCCCGAGCTACATTGCTACACTGGGCTCGGAAGGGGCAGCGCCAGGGCGACGCCGCGAACGCTGCGCGAGCTTGCCGTGGTGAAGCTCCATCTATGCGAGAGGGACCCTATGGGCGAGAGCGACCTTCAGAGTGCGCGGCCCAGGGGCAAAGGAGAGCCCAGCATCGAATCGAGACGTCGGGTCGGCGATCGGCATGCATCGGATCGGCCGACATCGGCGGCCGAGCTGGGAAGAAGAGTCGAGTCGGCGGAAAAATCGGCAGGCTCGTGTGCCTCCCTGGAGAGATCGGAGCCCACATCGAGATCCGAAATCGAATCGAATCGGAATCGGATCGAAATCGGATCGAAATCGAAATCGAATCGAATCGAAAAGAAATGCATCGAAATCGAATCGGATCGAAATCGAATCGGAGAAATCGGCATGAGCCCTGAAGGGGGGGGGGGCCTCTGGGGACACCGCCGGGCGCGCAGGCCGCTGCTGCCGCGGCGCCCAAGGGGGCTCCAAGGGAGGGAGGGAGGGAGGGAGGGAGGGAGGGAGGAGGAGGAGGAGGAGGAGGAGGAGGAGGAGTAGAACGACGAAGAAGAAGACGAGGGAGGAGCAGGGCGAGGAAGGAAGAGGGGGAGAAGGAGGTGGAGAGGGAAGAGGAGCAGCAGCCAGAGGGGGGAATCGGGGATGGACAGACCCCCCTTGAGTAAAACGTGGTCTAGTGAAAACGACCTCGGGCCCGAACCTGGCGGGCGCAGGCCTGGAAAATGACGGCCGCGGCGCCCTCTCGAGAACCGAAACGGACAATTCACTAATCGACGTGTCAGGGTAGGAGGTCTGTCCACCCCCGATCCATGGGGTCCGCACCACAGGTCACTCCGGCGAAAGGTCACTCTGACTGGCCATCGCTCGGACGTCCATTCCCTGTGTTTTTTTTCGGCTTCGTACGTGGCTTTTGTCGCAGGATGATCCGGGATGCTCCTGCATAATCCCCGCCGAGACAAAAATGGCACACGTCCGAGCGATACCAAGCTTACGTCTAGTCGGCCACCCCCAGACCCCCGACGTCCTGTTTTTCCCAACGCCGACCCTCAGAAGTCTCGCCCCATTCTCCCACTGGACCGGTTTTCCATCCTGCACTGTTTTGGAGTCCCGCAACGGTGCGGTGACAGACCGTGCGGTGACCTCGAAATCCCCCAAGACCTCACCGCACGGTCCGTCACCGCACGGTCTCGGGACCTCGGAGGCCCCCGTCGCCCGAGGCGTCCTCGGAGAACGGCCCGAGTCCCAAAACCGAGCGGCGACCCCGAATCCCCACCGACTCACCGCACGGTGTGGTCACCATCCCGTTTGTCGGGAGCGGCCAAGAGGGGGGTGTCCAAGAGGGGGGGGCTGCAAATCATGACCGGCGGCATGTGTGCGGCCCAGCGGGGGGGCCAGGGACGTAATGAAATAAGAAGAGGCGCCATGAAATCTGCGGAGATATCATGGCCCGCGCCATGATATCCACCCCCCCCTAGTCATCACCCCCCTCTTTGCCGCCCCCGACGTTTGGGGGCCCCCGAATTGTCCATCCTGCATTGTTTTGTTGACGGCCCCGAAGGGCCGCAATAAGGCCTGCGGCGGCCGATGCTATACGGAAAAAAGCCTTCCGGCCTGTCCTGTGATTCACTTCCCGCGAGGGGGGGTCCGGGGCGGCTCAGAGCGCGCAGCGGCAACGCGCTCTCGACGAGCCCACCGGTGGCGGCGCGGCACGGACGCCCCTCTCCGCGCTGCTGCCCGCGGCCGCGCGGCGCGCCCTCCCCCCCTCGGCGGTGGACAAACCTCCCTTTCGTAGACCTCCCTGTCGTGAAAACGGCCTGGGACCGAAACCGACGGACCTGGACCCGCAAAAATGACGGCCGCGACGCCCTCTCGCGAACCGAAAGCGGCCAATCGACGTGTCAGGGTAGGGGGTCTGTCCACCCCCGACCCCCCCCCCCGCCCCCGCCTTGGTGGTCTCCAAACCAGGTGGTGAGACACCCGGTGGTGACCCCGATTCCCCCAAAAAATAATTCTGGGTCACCACCGGGTTTGGGGACACGCCGTCGCCACGAGGTTTTGCGTGTCCTGGGCCAGCCAGCGCTCGAAAACCATTACCCAAATCGCCCAAAACTCACCACCGGGTGTTCTCACCACCACGTTTGGGGAGCACCCGCCGCGGGGGGGGGGCGGGGCGAGACGCACGCGCCCCGGGATGCCCCGGGCGCCGGCCTCCCCCCGGCTAGGAGGGGGGGGCGGGGCAGAGATGCGGAGGTCGGAGAAGGGGCGTGGCAGACCCAAAGAGGCCCTGGGGCACACAGGCACAAAGAGATACTCCAGATTTCGTAATAAAGGGAGGGGGGTCTCATTTCGGGGGGGGTCTCCTCCAGGCTATCTTGGAGGGCCTGGGGGGGTCTGGGGACGGTGTTTTGGAGGGTTCTCCCACGGGGGGGGGTCTAAAACTTTTCGTCTGGGAGGGTCCAGACCCCCTCCCTTTTATTACGAGATCTGGAGTAGACACACATCCCAGGATTCCCTCTGGGTTGCCCCTGTTTTCAGGGTTATCGTCTGCTGCCCCCACTCTGCATCGGGGGCAGGGCGGCCAGCGGACGGCAAGAGCCCGCGGCAGTGCCTCGAGAATCGTGCAGCAAAAACTGATTGTTTTTATGGTTGCAGCCCAGCTAGGTTGTCTCGGCATGTCACATTCCAGCATGCGCGTTGGGCATATTCCCGCAAAGCGTGCGCTCGTGCGAGGATTTCGGCACTGCGTTGAGGCGAGTTTTGAGGGACGTTGATCATCGGCTGCACGCGTCCTCTTCCGTTTCCCCTTCCCCTCCCCTTCTCCGAAAGATGCGCTGGAAAAAAGAACGAATCATGCAGCAAAAACTTCGCACCCTCGCAGGGCCCCATCGGGTTTCTGGTTGCATCGACCGCGGGTTGCAGCTAAGAGTGCGTAGAACCACTACGCTTCCAGTGCTGCAGAATGGGGGCGCGGGGAGGGTGGCAGCCGGACGGCAACCGGGCCAGCACGTGCGGGCCTCTCTGCACGGCTGCGCGCGTGCTCGTGCTCAGCATTCCTCACCCTCGTCCTCTTCTTCCTCATCGTCCCTCTCTCCCTTCATGCCTCCATCCCGCTCCCCCTCCCCTACCTCCTCCCTCACCTCCTCCTCCTCGTCCTCCTCCTCCTCCTCCTCCTCCTCCTCCTCCTACGCCTCCTCCTCCTCTTCCTCCTCCTCCTCTCCCTCCTCCTCCTCCTCCTCCTCCTCCTCCTCCTCCTCCTCGTCCTTCTCCTCCTCCCATTGCTGGCCCCCATTCCACCTCATTCTCCCCATCCTCGCCTATCGCTCCTCGGTCCTCTCTCCTCGCTTCTGCTGTTCCTGATCATCCTCGCTCGTCCCGCCTCTCTCTTGTGGCGCGAGGGGCTGAAGACAGCAGACTGTGTCTGAGCAGACTGAGCAACACGAACACCCGCGGGTGATGCCAGAGGCCGACAGGCCTCTGCTTGCAAAACGTGCATGAATGCTAATGCACGTGCCCAGACGCCAAGGCTGCCTCGGCGTAGAAAGTTGAAGACGAACATCGTGACGACCTTGCGCCGAGCTGAAGGCACATTCCCAACATGCATGTGATACTACGGCTTCGAGCTTACCAACATGCAAGTGATACTACGGTTTCGGCTGAAGGTACATTCCCAACATGCATGTGAAGGGGTACGACCGAGTATACCAGCAGAGCGCTACACTAACCCAAGACGTGCCAGGCAGTGGCCCATGCCTGGCTGAAACCCATCACACAATAACACCCACACGTGATGCTATTGCAATAGCCCTCCTGCGCTAGCAAAGGGCAAACTGGACAACGTATGCTGGGGCCACTTGGTGGGGCACTTGGGGGTTCTTGAGCCCTCTGAAGCCGGCCCAGGGCGTATGGAGACACTAGAGTGGATCTCTTGGGCAGTATTGTGGCTCGCTTGGGCAGTATGGGGATTCTCTGAAAGCCTTCTTAAGCCAATGATGAAGCTTGTTCGGGCGCTGTTGTGCCGTCTTGGAACGCTTTTGAGCGATCCCGACATCATCTTCAGGAGAGACCGCTGGGACCCAAAGACATTGGAAACACACATTCGTTGCTCTAGGTGGTGTTGAGTGTCCGAGGCCTCTCTTCGCACCCTTTCGGGTCTCCCCCGAGGCATCTTGTATCATGTGTTCTCTTCGGGCCCTCTCGGGAACAGATTGGAGCGTCTTGGGCAATCCTGGAAGCTCTCGGAAGCGCGCGCGCGCCAAGAGAGGGACACAAGAGGGGACCTCCCAAAGCCTGACGAGCGCTTTGCCCCGAGGTGTCCCCAAGGTTTTCCGAGAGGTTCTCGCGGCGCCCCCAAGATGCTTGTGAAGACTCCCGGGTGGCCCCCAGGAGGCACCAAGAGCTCCCCAAAAGGCTCCGAAAGACCTCCAAGACGCCGCCAAAAAGGCCCCGAGGGCAATCCCAACAGACCATGACGCCTGCGGGCACGAGACTCAGACGCCCGAATCATCGGGAATCACTGCGGTCTGGGGTAACTCGGGCTTGGGCCCCCGAGGCGCGAGACCTGCGGTCACCCCCGACTGCCCCCAGCCCCGAGGACTCGGGAGGGCTGCACGCGAGGTCCGCGAGGAGGAGGAGGAGGAGGAGGAGGAGGAGGAGGAGGAGGAGGCGGAGGAGGAGGAGGAGGAGGAGGAGGAGGAGGGGGAGGGAGGGAGGAAGGGAGGGAGGGAGGGAGGGAGGCAGGAGGGAGGAGGGAGGAGGGCGGATGTACTCCCCCATCGCCCTCCCATACTCTCCGGGAGTACTCCGGGAGGACTCCGGTCCGAACTCTCCGGGAGGACTCCGGTCCGCGATTTTAACTCGGGCCTGGAGGCCCGCGAGGCACGAAGGGACAACTGCCCTCAGGTCGGGCACGTCATCCTGCAAACGGATGTTGGAAGGAACATTTAAAAAGTCAAGCAAGTTCACAGGTAAACAAACAACAATCGAAAGATCGCCCCGTCACCATTCGAACTATCCTTGAATACTCCTCCTGTAGAGGGACGTGCCCGACTGAAAGCTACCCCTGACCGCCCACAGCCCCGCGATGATTCACTCGGAGCTCTAATAGGCTGCTCCGCTGGAGGACCGTTTCACGCCGCCTCGCCCGCGGACCACGTGTGCCGGCGGAGAGATCGTTTTCTTTCATTCTGGCGGGTTCTGGCGGGGCGCAAAAAATGGTAGGGAGGAGGGGGGAAGGCTTCTCAAAGGAGGCTGCCTCTTAGAAAGCGCGAGCCTCACATCCACAGACAGGGCAGGTCCGCGCATTCTACGAAGAAGGGGTGTTTCTAAGAAGGCTTCACTCCTCCCCCATATCTTCCTCTGCGCGTGGCCGAGGGTAATGATTGTTAAGACGAAGCCAGGACGAGGATAAAATAAGGTGAAGATAAATCGAGAATCTCTGAGATCCGGCTGCTCTGGAGGACGTCTTGGGCGCCGCGAACTTCTCAGAGCGTTCCGGAAGGCTCTGAGAGCGCTCTGGCTGTTCCTGATCCTAGCCCCGCCCGACCCCAAGGGGTGGGGCTTCTGGGCCCCGGGTAACTGTAACGCTTGGGCGGGGTGGGGTTCGTCGGGGCGGGGCCGCGCTGCGATCGCCTGAGCATGCGCCCGCGGCGCACTCGATATGCAGCAGCAAGCACAGCAGTGGCCTGCCTTCGATCACGCGCGCAAGGATCTGTGCGGTCCGAGAAGGCGCTCCTCTCCTCCAGGAACCCCCTCCTCCTCCTCCTCCTCCTCCTCCTCCTCCTCCTGCTCCTCCTCCTC